GCCAAAAAAAGCCCGGTCTAGGTAGGGTTAAATAGTAATGGTCAAATAATGTGCCCGTTCTAGGACGAGCTTCACCGCCTCTGGCGGGACCACGTCGGCATTCGGCCGAGATAGGCTGGGAGGGGGGCATCAGCAAGCAGGTCGTTGACCTCTGACATTGATAACACGCCACCTTGCGTGTTTTCATCAAACAACAATAAATGCAGTTTCGTAGAATCGTGATCGGATACGGTTTGCAAGGAATGTTTGGCACTTGGACCAGATGTGCGGAATGCGAGTTACCCGAATCGCGGTTTGGGTGACTTCACATAAACACGGCCAAAGGTACCGGTATGTACCGATATGTATATTAGGCTCAAAACACAGTTGAGGCAGGTGTGCCCAGAGTGTTGGCCGCTGATTGGATGAAATGAGAAATGATTGACAGTTGTTTCCTGACGTCACGCAGCTTGCTGGCCTTGCCCGGATCGGTCCAGTCACTCCCCATTCTCTCCACGGCGTCACCCAGGGCGGGGAAGGTATCGGTGGAGTAGAGGCCGTTGGACAGGACGGTATGCCTTGAAAGGGAGAAGATATTTTGTATTAGCCGAATAGTTTTTTATTATTATTAAAACAGCAAAAAAACATAAATACATACAAGATGACGCCGCACTCAAGTTCCATGGAGCTTATATTAACGGCGCCATCTACACAAAATGATTAAACAAAGATATACTGATTACATGGAAAAATATACTGATTACATAGACAAATAAATAGTAAATGGAATTCGACGAGCGCAAGTCCTGACCGCCATATCTTAGAATTACTGATAGGACACAAGAGTTAGTAGAATAATTGAAGTCGAAAGATTAATCAGATACAAAACGACCACTTTTGGTAATGAAATTTCGAATAGTTAAGGCCTAGTAAATGTTGTGTTTTCTGTTTCCCGACTGACCCTAGAAAAACCTGCCGACCCTAGACTTTTTCGGGTATGAACCCCTGCAACGGACATAAATACTTTTCTGAACTGATCAACTTTTTCTAGCTACATGATCTGACAACGTGACAATTGGTTTTCTAACATTCAGATTGAAAATAAAAGTGTCCTCGTGCAACTTTTATTTTGTTAAGCTGTATTGTACAAGTTGGACTCCTATATAGATATCACTGAAGTCTAAAAAAAGATAATCCCTACCGACCGACTACCAACCCTTAATTTTTTCAGAAAGGATTCACAACATTTTTTTCTAGGCCTAAGCTTAATTCTAGCCCCTACCTCAGTATACTTGAATGAATGAATGAATGAATGAATGAATGAATGAATGAATGAATGAATGAATGAATGAGAGTGAATGGACGAATGGATTGTATAATGATAATAATTAGTACATAGGAGCTATAAGCTAAGATTCGTACTATTTACAACAAAACAAAATCATAATACACATCATGCCTTTGAAAAATATTTTGAGTTTCCCTGCTTTATGTTGGAGGAGTTTAGGGTTAAGGTAGCAATTTTGAGACACTTTCTTGACATGTCGAAAAATAGTTCGTAGAACAGTTGCTTACTTATATTGTAAGCTGCTTCGCTATTTATGGGCGGTACCAAAAGACATAAAGAGATGCCTCGCTTACTTTTTTCAAACACTTCAATACGGAACAATGACGGAAATGTCAATTACATTAAAGATTTCTTTGCGTAGTATGTTTTTTGTTTGCCGCCATAAAATTTCTTTGAATGCCTTTTAAAGACATTTATAATAATTGTTTTATCATAGGATAGCCGGAAGCTTACCTGTAGAATGGCCTAGAAGGGATGCCCAGTGGGTCAATGAAGGCTCTCTCCATCTGCATTAGCTGGTCATTGTACATGCGGGCTACCATTGGACTGTGCAACAGAAATTATCGACGTAAAAAAACTGCGTATAAAATATAACTAATTGAATAGCAAAATTCTTTGAATATCAATGTTCTTTATTCATATGGTGACATTTGACAATAGATGACATTTCGATGACTGTCATTTTCACCAGGGCAATTATGACTCAGTACGGTATAAATTTGGAGTGTGCGCGTGTATTTGTGTGTGTGTGTGTGTGGCTGTTTGTGTGTGTGTCTGTGTGGCTGTGTGTGTGTGTCTGTGTGTGTGTGTCTGTACTTGTTTGTCTGTGTTTGTTTGTCTGTGTGTGTGTGTTTGTGTGTGTGTTTGTGTGTGTGTGTGTGTGCTTGTATGTATGTGTGTGTGTGTATTTGTGTGTGTGTGTGTGTGTATTTGTGTGTGTGTGTGTTTGTGTAGCTTACTGTTTGTGTAGCTTACTGAACCGCCCGCCGCCACCCCCGTCCCCGCAGCTGGAGGCCCTAGCCAACCTGGCCACTGAGGACTCTACCATCTCAGCTGATCCACCCACTGTGGATGAAGTGCAGAAAGCGGTAGACAAGCTCAAGTCAGGACGTGCTACCGGTGGCGACGGCATCCCTCCAGAACTGCTACTGAAAGGCGGCCCAGCAGTGGCACAGTGGTTACATAGGCTCATCACCGCCATTTGGAAATCTGACACCATTCCTTCAGACTGGCGTCATGGAGTCATTCTCCCCTTTTGGAAGAAGGGCCCAAAGGACATCTGCAACAACTATAGGGGCATCACACTACTTAGTGTTCCAGGGAAAGTCTTTGCCCATGTTATTCTTGCAAGGCTTCGTCCCCTTCTCCTCCTCAAGCAACGTCCAGAGCAGAGTGGGTTTACACCCGGGCGCTCCACGGTGGATAGAGTCCTTTCTCTCAGGCTCTTAGCTGAGATGAGGAGGGAATACAGGAAGCCGTTGTACGCTGCCTACGTCGATTTGAAACAAGCATTTGATTCTGTTGACAGACAATGCCTGTGGAAAGTCCTCAGGATCCTCGGTGTGCCCTCCAAACTCCTGGACCTTCTGTCCCTCTTGTACTCAGACACTACGTCATGTGTCCGTGTCAACGGACAGACCTCGGATCCCTTCACCATCAACAGTGGCGTTAGACAAGGGTGTGTCTTGGCTCCCACCATCTTTAACACCGCCATTGACCATGTCATGGCAAAGACAGTATCCCAGAGCAGCTGTGGTGCAAGCTTTGGCAACGTCACCATCTCCGACCTGGACTATGCGGATGATGTAGCCATTCTTGCCGAAGTAGTACAGGTGCTCAAGCATGCCCTGGAAGCCATGAACTTGGAGACACAACCCCTCGGACTGATGATTAGCTGGCGAAAGACTAAGGTCCAAAGCTTGAGCGACTTCCAACCGCCTCCTGCTCCTCCAGTGATCGATTCCCATGAGGTGGAGGTTGTCAACAAGTTCAACTACCTCGGCAGCACGATCACCACCGACTGCAAAAGCTCGGCTGATATCAGGATCCGTGTTGCCCGGGCCGCCACAGCGATGGCCAACCTCAGTAAGATCTGGTCCGACAGACGGCTGTCAGTGCATACCAAGCTCAGGCTCTACAACAGCCTAGTCCTCTCCATCCTGTTGTATGGTGCTGAAGCATGGACTCTGACGTCCACACAGGAGCGGCACTTAGATGCCTTCGATGCCAAATGTTTGCGCAGGATTCTGGGGATTAGGTGGTATGACCGTGTGACCAACATCGCCCTTCGCCGGTCAACAAACCAGCCTCCAGTCTCCCAGAAGATTCGAGCTGCCCGCCTCCGACTCTTCGGCCACCTCGCCAGATCATCTCCGCCCTCAGAACCAGCCAGACTACTGCTGGAACCCACACCTACTAACTGGACCCGACCCCGGGGCAGGCCCAGACAGAAGTGGCTGGATGTCCTGTCATCAGACCTGAGAGCAGCGGGCTACAACCTAACTACAGCCTGGGCAGCGGCGCAGAACAGAAGTGCTTGGAGGACAGTTTGCCGGGGCGCTACGCTTCTAGGAGCATGCGGACTTGAGTGAGTGAGTGAGTGTGTTTGTGTGTGTGTGTGTGTGTCTGTGTCTGTGTTAGTGTGTGTGTGTATGTGTGTGTGTGTATTTGTCTGTGTGTGTGTGCGTTTGTGTGTGTGTGTGTGTTAGTGTGTGTGTGTGTGTGTATTTGTGTATTTGTGTGTGCGTGTTTTTATGCTTGTGTGTGTGTGCGTGTGCCTGTGTGTGTAAGTGTGTGCTCGATTGAACTACATCACACAATCCCGTCCACAGTTTTGATTTTAGTTTCACCTTGTATCGTTTCCAAGTGAAGCAAGTTTCTCCTCAAACATCGCTGCCGCCTGGGTGAAATTTGTCACTGCCGACTCCAGGGCGTCTGAAATCAGAGCAAAGCATTCCTTTAATCATTTAGAAAAAAACTTAGAATAATTACTTAAGAATATCAATATGTAAAGCCATATAGGTAGATATACAAGAACTCATTGCATAGTTATGCCAAAAAACACTTACTCAAGCAACTGGATATGATTTTGAAAACGTCAGAAGTTTCAGCTAGTATCCACAAGCTTTCGTCAGTGACTGAGAGACCAGAGGGGAAAGCAGGTTTATATACACAACCTGTTGATTGATATGCAAATAAAGTGAAGACAAATTTTTTGGAAGTCGAAAAAGGAACAAAAGTCAGACAAGTCAAGACAAGATGATGCAAATTAGTCTGAAAGCTCCTGTTATACAGGACAGGAGCTTAAGTGTTGTCTGTCCTCGGGGCTGGGAGTGCCAAATCCCAAGTGCCGGAAAGATCGACCCGTAGCCCCCCTTCCCTGTTGAGGGTGGGGTTGTACATTCTTTCATATATTGCCTCTTTAACACCCCGTTCCCACCAGCGTGTTTCGCGGTCTAAGACATCCGTGGACTCGAGTTTGAAAGAGTGACCCTGGTTGTGTTGTAGGTGGTGGAAAATAGCTGAGGAGTAGCCGTTGGCACTAGGTCGGCAATGTTCTTTGTACCTTACTTTAAGCGGTCGACTTGTCTCTCCGATGTAGGTGTTGTTACAATTGGGCTCCTCACATTTGAGTCTGTAAATAACATTCGCCTTGGTACCCTTGTGAGGTCGGTCCTTAGGGTGTACCGGTCTTTGTCTGAGGGTTGAGTGAGGTTTGAAGTTAGTGGCTATGTTGAAGTTTTGGAAGATCCGTCTGAGTTTCTCAGATACTCCTTGGACATACGGAATAGTGATGTTGGCCTTGTTTTTGTTGGTCAATGGTTTGCACTTCTGGGTTTTCTTAGACTGATCTGAAGGTTTGAGCGCTTTGTTGAAAGTCCAGTTTTGGTAGCCACATTTAGCCAGGGCACCTTGGAGGTGTCTTTGTTCGTCCGTTTTGGCTTGGTCTGAAGTGACAATGTTGTCTGCACGATGGAAGAGAGTTTTGATCACTGCTAGTTTGTGTTCCAAAGGGTGGTGGGAATCAAAAGCCAGGTACTGATCAGTGTGGGTTGGTTTCCTGTACACTTCGAAACGAAGGTTACCATCTTCCTCTACGATAGTTTTGGTGTCTAGGAAAGGGAGCATGTTGTCATGGCTTGGCTCCTGTGTGAACTTGATGTTGTCATCTATCTGGTTGATGTGGTCAAAGAAGTCAGCAGCTACCCTCTTTTTCAATCTGCACCAAGTGTCATCTACATATCGAAACCAGTTGGCCGGGGGAGTGTCATTGAAAGTGCTGAGGGCTTTGTTTTCAAACTTCTCCATGTACAGGTTTACAACAATTGGTGAGACTGGTGATCCCATAGCACAGCCGTGCATTTGTTGGTAGAACTGTCCTTTGTAAGTAAAGTATGTGCATCCTAAGCAGAGTTCTAGTAGCTCACAAACTTGGTCAACGGATAGGTTGGTTCTATCTGCAAGTGTATCATCGGCTTCCAAGGCTTCCTTGACTACTGACACTGCTTCCTTGGGTGGTATGGAGGTGAAAAGTGAGCACACGTCATACGAAGTGATGGTTTCATCATCCTCTACATGAATGTCTTTGATTTTGTTGACAAAGTCGGCACTATTCTGTACATGGTGCTGAGATTTCCCCACTAGTGGTCCCAAAGTGGACCGCTTAAAGTAACGTACAAAGAACATTGCCGACCTAGTGCCAACGGCTACTCTTCAGCTATTTTCCACCACCTACAACACAACCAGGGTCACTCTTTCAAACTCGAGTCCACGGATGTCTTAGACCGCGAAACACGCTGGTGGGAACGGGGTGTTAAAGAGGCAATATATGAAAGAATGTACAACCCCACCCTCAACAGGGAAGGGGGGCTACGGGTCGATCTTTCCGGCACTTGGGATTTGGCACTCCCAGCCCCGAGGACAGACAACACTTAAGCTCCTGTCCTGTATAACAGGAGCTTTCAGACTAATTTGCATCATCTTGTCTTGACTTGTCTGACTTTTGTTCCTTTTCGACTTCCAAAAAATTTGTCTTCACTTTATTTGCATATCAATCAACAGGTTGTGTATATAAACCTGCTTTCCCCTCTGGTCTCTCAGTCACTGACGAAAGCTAGTGGATACTAGCTGAAACGTCTGACGTTTTCAAAATCATATCCAGTTGCTTGAGTAACTGTTTTTTGGCATATCGTATTACCTGGATGTCTAACCTTCATCGACGTATCATTGCATAGTTAATTAACTCTTTTGTATAGGTCACGTGCACCTGGCCTGAACTGAACTATTAACATGAAATTCAACTTGGTAAATTACATACTTAGTTATTAAGTTATTAAGTTGCAAAAACACTTCGACTCACCTGAAGTTTCGACCTAATCTCTTTTTGTCTTCATCAACTGTCTGGCCAAAGTGCCATAGACACGTGATTTAGCTGCATGCGTGACGTCAGTACTGGGTCAAAGTTCGTTGGAAGTCACTACCGCCCCACCCCCCCACCCCCACCCCCTCGACCGCAAATCGGTTGAGACAATGTTGGTGTCTACTACTCTCCAAGCAGAGGCTTGTGTTTTGGATTATTTTTGACGTGTTTTAATATTATCAGGGTTTCTTTTTTTTTGCACTGGGAGTTTTGTTTCACACAACCCAACAAATTCCAGTGTAGAAAAGAAACCCCGATAAAACAAAACTACAAACGCGCCAAAAATAACCCAAACCTCTGCTTATCTGCTTGGAGAGTAGGTTTCTACAGCACTTTGATCAAATAACTGATAAAGACATTGTCAAGAAGATTCGGTCGAAAATTTCTGTTAGTCGAATTCTTTTTGAGTTGGAGTTTAGAAAAAAAAATCAGAACACTTACCTAGAGAAATCTGAGTCGCTTGGAATCCCTCGCCATACTCGTCCTTCAACACGTCGAACATTTCACTGACGGTGGCGGCGTACTCGGACACATCGATCGGTAAAATCTCAGCCTCGGCCAGAGAGAAGGCTATCCCCGCCCAGAGCTGAGACATGAGCCGGTGAAACTTGAACTCAGGGTCGATGTAGGTCTTCTGGAGGTGGAAGGTCTCGTAGGCCGTGTGGTAGAGAGGGTAGTTTGGGTAGGTGATCTGTAGGGATGTTAGTTAATTTAGCTGAACTTTTTGGTACAACATTTTGGCGTTATTTCTAAAATTTTAGAAAGACGTGGACCGTCAAAATTATGTTATGATTTTTATTTAAACTGCCCAGAAGTCATACGACCTAGAACCCCTGCCTGCCTACAACTATAATATAACCATACAGCTGTAATGTTAACATTAATTACTAAGACCCAACACAGATGAACTTTCAAGATATTAATTACTAAGTTTAATACTGATGAACTTCAGCGCTAGCGGACTTGCCGGACTTACTAAAAAGTGATTATCTAGGTCTAATATGGAAGAGGGTTAGGGTCAGGCACAGTTCTGGATAGTGCCCATGTATCCAAAAACGTAAATTCACGGCAGGCATGGTTCTGGATACGCGTGGACTTTCATTCAGCAGTCTCCCATCCCCACAATGCATTGCGAAAACAGGGGTCTAAACCTCATTTGCATAGGACAGGGAGGAATCGTGATCCTGTTGACGTTAAACAGCTTGCTTTTCACTGTGTTTCGAGGTGTTGGTGCATTTTATGCTTAACATTAATTAAATTACTATGGGTCGAATCTGACAACAAATAGAGAATGAAGTTTTTGTGTTCTTTTCAACATAGAACATGTGGTTTGTAACGTTACAGCATCAGTATAGCGTTACCACTATAACGTTACAAACCACATATTTAAAAAACTTCATTCTCTATTTCTTGTCAGACTCAACCCATAGTAATTTAATTAACCTTGGGCATAAAATGCCCCGACACCTCAAAACACAGTGAAAAACAATCTGTTTAACGTCAACAGGATCATTCCGATGCCTTCGTGTTCTATGCAAATGAGGTTTAGACCCATGTTTTAGCAATGCATTCTGGGGATGGGAAACTCGTGAATGGTTCTGGATAAATCCTAGTTCTGGCTACAACAGGTCTGGTACTCACGGTGTAGCGGTGAACCATCGCCAGGTCCATGATAGGCACTCCCACTCTTCTCACAAAGGGAACAAAGTCACTCGCAGACGATGGTAGGGAAATCCTTAGAGAGACAGACGTGTGTTTGTGTTAACATGTAACATCTGTGTCCATAACATCACCAGGGTCCATAATATCCCCACCTTGAGAAATAGGTTGCTTAAAGATTTATATTTTACTGCAACATACCCTAGGTATGTACATTTGATGTGTGAAGGAGTGCATACTAAAAGTATGTTGCAGTAAAAATATCTTTAAGCACACTATTTCTCAAGTTGGGGATATTATGGACCCTGGTGATATTATGGACACGGATGTTATCCTAGTTTCTGCCGACGGTACTTGAAAATATAAATCTATCTTCTTAGGAAATATTTATATTTTCAAGTACCGTCAGCAGAAAATAGAAATACCTGACTTTATATCTTTTTGTCTCTCGTGTCCAAAAATTAGAGTGTATTATTGCGACAAGGTTGGATAAAATACATAAGCACATTGGGAAAACTACATGTTATACCGATTTCAGTTTCCTTTAACCATTGTTTTATCTATTGCCTGGGGGGTACTCATTAATTTCTCATTATTTTTAGGCCATGTTGATTTGAATATATGGATGACATCCTCCGGGAGCCCCAAAACTGATGCGCGCATGCGAATAAAAAAAGTTTTGCAAAAAAAAGTTCTTTTCATTATGAAATCTACGTGGTCATGAGGGTTGAGCAAATGGCACAGAATATGGTTTGGCGAATAATCTAGTCTTCAAGTTCATTTTTTTACAATTTCGTCTTTCGCCAGTATGGTTGAAAACTTTTTTTTTGGAAACGGCCGAAAATTCATGCGCGCGCGGATGTCATCCATATAATCAAATCAACATGGCCTTATTTGTATTGTCCTTATTGTCTACTGGTTTTATGTACATGTATCAGTTTTGTTGTCATGTGCGTCACGAATTTTGTTGTGCCATGATTTTCTTTTTCTCTATCTTGAAATGAATAAAAAAAGAACTTAAAAAAAACATGTATCCTTCAAGCCCCTGTCACACACCATCGAATGTGACCTTCCGAACACATGCCGAATTCATGCATATGATTAGGTGTTGGCCGGGATTCCGGAGCAAGGCTTGCTGTGGTTGGTCGGCTGGTGTTTGGCCAGATCGGCTAATGTCTGACTGCACCAACTGAAGGGTTCCAAATCTTTCAAACATTCGACGGAAGGTTCGGCCATGTTTGGCTAGTACTCAGGAGTTCAGCAGTGTTCAACTCAAATTGATTCGAATCATATCGAAAGGTATAGGCTTGACCTAAATCTGATCAACCAACCGTCAACCAACTGTTATGATGGTTGATTGATTGTCGTGCACATAAGGTTTATTAAATATACATGTATGTTGAACGGGCAATAGGTTCTACTATACTTGGGGTCAGAGTCAGGGTCTTCGCTGTCTGCTGGAGTTCGCTGACGCCAAACAGAGTACAGAGTGTCTCCATCAGGCGTGGTCTCTGGCCATGGTACCTAATACAAGAACGATGAAGGGAAATACGTCGATGAAGGCTTAACATCCACTACTATAATTCGTCAGTGACATTTTGTTTCTTATCTTGTCTTGTCTTGTTTAGGTACTGCACAACACCCCTAAGTTGGGGTAAAGCGTGCAGGGGAGCTGTGCGATGCGCTATTGCTTCGTCCTCAGGTGCTGTAGTACTGCAGCGTTGAACTTCGTGGGTTCCGCGGTATCAGATATCTCTTGGGGCAAAATGTTCCAATCTCTGACAGTTTGTGGAAAGTATGAACATTTGTAACAGTCTTTGTGAAACGTTAGTGGTTTGTATGAGTTTGAATTGAAGTGTCGCGATTGGCGCGGGATAGGCGTCAACCAGGTTTTGACCGGAAGGGCTGTTTTTGAGTATCTTGCTTTTTTAAGTAATGTGAGTCTACTTGCTGTGCGTCTGATCTGATCTGTCTAAAACTTATATTCATTTCATTTACTTTTGTCAGTTCAAAGCTTTTGCTTTACCTTGATATGAAAGACATGCCGCACCTTAATGATAATTTTCTCATCCCAAAACAACAATAATGACGTTTTATTAAAGGTTAGCCTTAAACGAAACACAGCACAACACAACACAGAATCAATAAACCATCAGTATATTACCTTATACTATCATGAAAGTTCATCTGTGTTGGTAGTTACATGTTTAAAGTTAAAACTTTTGGTCCAACACAAAAAAAGTTCTCTCACCTAGAGCTTTCGACCAGTCACTCTGGTCTTCCTCAGTAGACTGACCCAGTGAAGCTTTGTCACGTGGCGTCTTTGAAGTGTGACGTCACAGACGATGTCGTCCCCCGTCGCGGTTCAATGAATGGTTTCTTGCGAGGGGTGAAGGTAGCCATATACATCAGGGCCCATCACCCTTCATTGAACCGCGACGGGGGCTGACATCGTCTACCAGATACCTTTGACCCAGTGTTGACGCCACACTTCAAAGAAGTCACGTGAAGCAAGACCAGAGTGACTGGTCGAATGGTCTAGGCGAGAAGACGTTTTTTGTGTTGGACCAAAGTTTCAACTTTAAACAAGTAACTACCAACACATGAACTTTCATGATAGTATAATACTGATTGACCAATCAGTTGGACCAAAAGTTTTAACTTTATTCAAGTACCTTCATAGCAGCTTCCTTCAGCAGAGGTTTAAGAGACGGTGTAGCCCTGGCGCGGAGTGTGTATTTGTCTGTGAGGAAGATTCAAGTAGCTGATATAATTGTTATATTGCCCAATGAATGCAGTGTAAACTAGAGAAGTAACATTTACAAAGCAAATGCATAATGTTTACCTTCGGACATGGTCTGCTCTCACTGTTAATTCTTACTCAAACACAATCACATACATCTAGTACTAGTATACAAAATGTATATGGTGACAGGAGCAGAGCAGACCATGAAATTGCAACATTATGTAACCAAACACCAGTCACCATGGTAACAGACGTCAACAAATCATGTCATTGGTCACTGCTTGGAGAAGAGGAAGAGAAAGAAACGGAGTAAAAACAATGTTTTCCTTCGGTAAACATAAATAAAACACAATCTATAAGCCATTGAGCCCGTCAAAAACAGATGATACTTTAAACAGTCTCTAGAGTCCCGCCATATTTTACCAACTAGACGATCACCATAAAACAACGTTTCTAACTACTAAGATCATAAAACCCACTTTCTGCAAGATTTTAGCATGATAACTCCAGAAGACCAGAGTGACTGCTCTAAAGCTCGAGGTGAGAGAACTTTATTGTGTTGGATTGAAACACATAACTCAAAAAGCTATCATAATGATGGATTGAAATGGAATTTCGTAGGCGGGTAGGTCTTCATTAGCCCTTAAAATGATTAAATATCTGGCTATATTTAGCGCCTTGTTTCAAATGTTTTAAGGCTACACAAATTTAATTTGTTGGTTCTCGGATTCGTCTCTTCTTTGTTTTTCTGAATTGCAAAAAATAAAAAGATTATGGCTCTGAATCATCTCAAAAATGCTCATCTTTTGCCCCCAACAGTTGAGGAAAGTCTTATTCTTCCTAGTTGTTACAGTTTTTCCACCAATCAATGCAGAGGTTTGATTGTTCAAAATTCATTGTTTCTTTTTAATAGGAGCCATTAAGTCAACATAAAAGGCTGGGTTGATATTTAAAAATATCAACCCAGCCTTTTGTGTTGACTTCATGACTCTTATCGAAGCATTTGGGGCTGTAATAGAATGCCCAGACCTGCTTTTATTTTTTTCGCCCTGTCGCTTCATATTTTTTCTAAAAAAAATCCGAGAACCAACAAATTAAATTGGCGTGGCCTAAATTCATGTATTATCCATAGTAAGATAGTAAACTCGGCCTTACCTCGGACTGCGATGTCCACGTTTATGTACGCCACAGCTCGGTCCGACATGATCTTACCGAACTCCTAATATAACGGTAAACAATGAACGGTTGAAAAATGTTTTAGGCGCCTTGTGTAAAATTTTTGTACCAAAATAAAGATTTTTTAATTAAAAACTTCATGTTATTGCAATTTTTACTTCTATTTAATATCAACATATTTGTACCATTATTTTACATTTCTGACATGTATTGTTTGTTGGGTAGGGCGCACATATTTTGTGGTACCACCTCAAACTACCAGAATGTAAATAAACATGACTGACAGATGGGTTTCTAGGTTTTTAACAAGCTCGTGTGGTGTAATATCTTTACAGCTGCACGTCCTGACACCTATTCACGAGTTTCCCATCCAAAGGATGCATTGCGAAAACAGGGGTCTAAACCTCATTTTCATAGAACAGGAAGGCATCGGAATGATCCTGGTGACGTTAAACAGCTTGTTTTTCACTGTGTTTTTAGGTGTTGGGGCATTTTATGCTCAACATTAATTAAATTACTATGGGTCAAATCTGACAACATATAGAAAATGATTTTTTTGTGTTCTTTTCAACATGGAACATGTGGTTTGTAACGCTACAGCATCAGTATACCGTTACCACTATAACGTTACAAACCACAACTTCAAAAAAAATCATTCTCTATTTGTTGTCATGCGGATTCAACCCATAGTAATTTAATTAACGTTGAGCACAAATTCCCTATCACCTCAATACACACTGAAAAACAAGCTGTTTAACGTCACCAGGATCATTCCGATGCCTTCTTGTCCTATGCAAATGAGGTTTATACCCCTGTTTTCGCAATGCATTCTGGGGATGGGAAATTGGTGAATTCGCACAAGTAGTTTTACATTATCAAGGTCTTTTATTCTGTGAAAATTACAGTAGTATGCTTTATGGTATCCAGTTTTTGTTCAAGTGTTCTGATGTTGTAGTAGAGCAGACACCACATATGCGTTGCGCAGTAGAGGCCTCAAAATGGGAACACGATTGTAGTTCCTAGTTTATACCTTGAAAATACCTGAAAATCCTTTTTTCTCTTGAAAGTTTTGGTCTCTTTTGGAGATTTTTTGGGCTGGAAGGCACAGGCAGGGTCTAAACTTTCCTACATTGGTCAAGTTTTGTTTATTTCACCAGTTTAGTGGGCGTAGTGAGAGATGTGAATGGTTAGGTCTTGTCTGGCCAGGCGGATGGATACCATGGAAAATGTAGGTCAAAGTTGGGGTTTTGTTACTATCAGCTGTGGTGGGATTTTGAGATGGTCAACCCCCTGTTTCCTTTCTATTTTTGGGAATCAGACCCTTGTTGCTACCTGGTGCAGAAAAATTGTTGAGATTGAAGTATATTAAATAAGGCAAGTACTTTCGTGAGGACTTCAAACAGTGTATTTAAGCATGTGTTCCTATGGACAAATCTAATAGTACTGTCTGCCCAGTACGTTTTCTGACCTCAATCCACTCGTGTGATCCATGCATCCCATGCTCCTCAGCGTCCCAGCTGATGAACATCAACGTGCGTCTGGGGCGCCACCCTGCGATCAGATCGTGAATAACATACGTTTCAAAGGCTCATTGAATTCTTTAGATAAAGATTATATTTAGCTTCTTATAGCATCGCAATTCTACTTTAAGACTTCTTTTTTTATTATTCTTTCACATAAAAAGTTACAAATATTGAATCATCCAGGTAATAATACAATAATAACGGGAAATATTTACAGAACATAGAAATGATAATAATCAATTATCTGTAGAGACCTTTGATTATAATCATAATGATATCAACTCATTTCAAACATAGAAATTATAATAATCAAATGAATATTAACGTATCTATAGAGACATTTGATTAATGTCAACTCATTTCACACATAGAAATAGTGTGTACACAGCCAACATCACATGTACACAGCCAGCATCACATATCACTTCGTTGAAGTAAGAAGCAAAACATTAAATCAGAGCTTTTTCTTGTCTCCAGCTCTCTTCATAGTTATCTGCCATCCACCTTCTGACATGACAACAGACATGTTTGCCCATTTTCGGGATGTTGACCACTGTCAGAAGGCAGCAATTTTTTTTTTCCAAAATCAGGCGAAAATTATTGCGCGCGTTGATGTCATCCATACAAATTACTTGCTGTGGCTTTATATAGTAAGTATAGGGGTACCTTGTTTCATCATTTCTCCCAAGGCACGGGTGATCTCCAGAAGACAGGCGGTGCCACTGTTCGGGTCCACCGCCCCCAGGTTCCAGGCATCCCGGTGATTCCCAAGGACGACGTAACGGTCTGGAACAACGCGTACACATCGTAAAAATACAGCTAAGTTTTGTACTTGCAGCAATTGTAAGTTATTTCATTGTGAACATGACGTAACTTACATCAGACATAGACTGTGCACATTGGTGCCTCATTTGCATATAGATAAGAAAATAATGAATGAATCTTTCATTGCATGTTCATACACATGGGGCTAAATGCATACATCAGAATGTGATGTTACATGTACATTATACTGAGTAACATGACACATAGGATACAAGGATAACAGAATAACGTAAAAATGTTACTACTAGAGAATAAACTAATCTAGGCCTCAAAATGTAGGCGTCAAAAGCATAAACTTGTAAACTTTTATAAAATTATCAAAGAATTAGCACCAAAATACTTACAGGAATTGGTACCACTACAAACCCGTGACTCCACCCCCTACAGTCTCCGTACTGATCAGAATTACGTCTTAATTCCTGCTAGAACTGAGAAATTCAAAAGATCTTTTCTGCCTACTTCCATTGTTTCCTGGAATAACTTGTCATTAACTACACGAGCATCAACATCAATTGCCATCTTTAAAAAGAGTTGGAGACGTTTTATCACAGCCCTCACACTCAACCTCACTTCTCCCACGGTCCGATAAACCCAGCTATCCACCTTACCAGACTCAGACTCAACCGCAGTCAGTTAAACTTTCACCTGTTCCAACATCAATGTGTGCCCAGTCCTGCGTGCAAATGTGGTCACTTCAACGAAACAGCTGTACACTACTTCCTACACTGCCCACTGTACACTGACGAACGCATTGACATGTTATCATCTCTAACTAACATTCTGCCATTTGACACAAACAACGTCACCGACAACACTTTATGCTCAACCATTCTCAGGGGTAACCCCTCATTGTCGTTTGTCAACAACTGTAACATATTTGATGTGGTTTTCAACTTTATTTTGCAGACAGGACGTTTTGTTTGATTTAGTTGATTCATTTTGATTTGTACACCAGCCTACTATGTACCCTTGTCATTTCTTATTATTATTATTACTTTGTTTTATTGTATCCTTTTATGTGTGAGGAGAGGGCTGAGATAAGTTTTATAACTTTTTGCCTCATCCTCGGAAAATAAATGTGAATAAAATAAATAAATAATCTAGGCCTTAAAGATTTCTTCTCTCTTTCAATAATACAGCAGGCCTTCTTTGCTAAGATAGGACATTAAAAATTTAGACAACATCTACTGTAAAGGTAGACAAAGATCATCAATTGACGCAAATGATGACTTTAATTAAGTAATTAATGAGATTCATTTATATTACGTTGGTTATAGAGGTTAACCTCATTTGAGGAAGGTATGAAATAATAGAAATTATTATTTTTTTGTTTCTTTTCCTTTAAATCTTTTCATGATTAAAATTGTTTTGTTGGGCCAAAAGTGATGTGGCACCAAAACAAAAAGACCCGGTTTAAAGCCAAATGTATGATCCTGCCAAATACATGACTCCGACACTACTTCGAAGTTTCAAATATACCTGAGACAAGGGTTGGGAGAGTTTTTTGAGGTAATGTGGGAGACAAACCTAACCTAATCCCAATCGTAAGTGTAACCCTAGCCCTGAATAATGATCCCAACCTTAACCCCAGCCCTAAACACCTGACCTCTCACGTATGTGGCAGGTCAAGGATTTGGCTCAACACCGGATATAAGCCTACAGCAAGTAATTTTTTGGATGACATTAGCGCGCGCATTAATTTTCGCCTGATGTTGGAAAAAAAACAAGAAATTTTGTTGCCTTCTGACAGTGGTCAACATTCCAAAAATGGGCAAAGATGTCTGTTGCCATGCCGGAAGGTGGATGGCAGATAACTATAAAGAGAGGAGCCAAGAAAATGCTTTTATTTAATGATTTGTTTCTTACTTTGATGCAGTGATATGTGATGCTGTTTATGTATATGTGATGTTCCCACTGAATCAAAACCATTTGTATGATGATTGAGTCAAGATTTAAAAATGTAGGAACCTTGTTTTTTTGACCGGCTTCGTTTTTTTTCGACCGCTCGCATCAGATTTGGAGTCTGCGGCGGATGTCATCCATAAAATCTACTTGCTGTGGCCTAAGTATAATGTAACGTGCTTTTTTTAAACCTAACCTGGCTCTACGGCTCCCCGGATGATCCCCACTACATTGTGGATTGTCCTCTTCTCTTTTGTCACGGTCACGTTCAGACGAATTTTTCTGTAAGAAATAAATATATAGAAATATGTCAGGGCAAAGACTTTGATCTTGTAGAATCTGTGAATGTGTCAGGACGATTTCCAATTTACAAATCCTAACTTTTGAGTGATTCCATTTCTCTAAAATGACAGGAATACAAGTTGAAAGTTCTGACTGTCTATTTAAGTAAATAGTTTAAAAAATCGGGATCTCTTCCAATTCCTTATACTTGAGACAAGATCCATACACACACACTAATCCAGCGCTGCTTAAAACAATACTCCCGTAAAAGTTCTGAAAAATAATTTAAAAAAACCCCTTTGCTGATTTATAGATGTATACGTACTATTTCAAAAAGCAGTTTCTCAAGCAACTGGATATGATTTTGAAAACGGTCAGACGTTTCAGCTAGTATCCACTAGCTTTCGTCAGTGACTAAGAGACCAGAAGAGAAATGCAGGTTTATAAGCACAAACTATTGACTGATATGCAAATAAGTAACCTGCATTTCTCCTCTGGTCTCTTAGTCACTGACGGAAGCTAGTGGATACTAGCTGAAACGTCTGTTCCCCAAATCATATCCAGTTGCTTGAGTGACTGCTTTTGGGCGTATCTTATTACCTGGATGTCTAATCTCCATTGACGTATACGTACTACTCACCTTGCCGATGAAAGTTTTGGCCGGCCGAATCCCGCGCCGTAGCGGTACTTAGTTTCCAACAGGCCCCGCCAGGAGTCATTAACAACCTCGCGTCCACGCATCAGCCTGAAGAGGATAACATAACGTATTTTTATGAAAGTTCATCTGTGCTGGTAGTTACATGTTTAGAGTTAAAACTTTTGGTCCAACAGAAAAAAAAGTTCTCTCACCTAGAGCTGAACAAGACTACTTTTTGAGAGGGGTGAAGGAGGCCATATACACCAGGGCCCATCACCAACCGCGACGGGGGCCGACATCGTCTACAAGATACCTTTGACCCAGTGTTGACGTCACACTTCAACGAAGCCACGTGACAAGCTTCACTAGGTTAGTCTACTGAGGAAGACCAGAGTGACTGGTCGAAAGCTCTAGGTGAGAGAACTTTTTTGTGTTGGACCAAAACTTTTAACTCTAAACATAGTGTATTTTATCTTTTATCGAAAGCTTGACAGCACTTTACGTTAAAGGCACCCAATGCGATTTCAGGGCAGCAAAACTGGGAATATTCTGAATAAGGCAATCTTTATGATATTGACACATACTGCTTTACATTAGCACGTTTGAATCAGTATTTCATACTTTGGGCTTTTAAAACTGCAGAAACAAGCCCCAAGATCAGTCTTTTATTTTCCGGGTGGTACCCTAAAAGTCAGCCCAGCGCCCTTATAGTGACCATTTTACGTCAGAATTTTGGTAATTTGCTCCATTAGGGTCAATATACATTGCGACAGTGTGGTTGCATCTCAGTAAGTAGATAAATGACTAGAATATTGGCTTTGAAAAATCGTGTTTCCAAGCCCTAAAAACTTCACTGGGTGCCTGGGTTCACAAAGACACATATTGAGAAAGATCCACCTACTTCATGATTTCCATGGCATCCGTGTACCCTATGACGTGTACGGGGATTGTAGGCAGCTGGTCACTTTCACTTTCCTCCATTATGTAAGTGTAGTCTGAAAAATACCAAAATAATAACTAAAAGTCCTATTATGTTTTGAATAACCATCTCTTCTTTAGCTAAAAAAAATCTTTGCGTCATTGTAATTTCCTTCAACTTTTCAAAATATGTGTGTAATTATGTCACATAACTGACATTTTAAATTTTATAGTTGAATATAAAACAGCCAACACCCGGCACACTCAGTTTGTGGTACCACTTCAAAATACCAGAACGTAAACAAACATGATTGACAGTTGCATTTTCAACTCTTAAATACATTCGATTCGTAAGGCGTAATATTTAAAAATACGGAGGCGTTTGTAAAGCCGTTTACGTTGTTTACATTTCGTGTGAAGTGTGCTGTTTGTTGTTGTTATATGTGTGTAAATGAATGAAAAACAATAAAAAGGTAAATAAAAATAAAAAGCAAAAAAACATGAAATGAAAAATAAAGTAAAATAAGATAAGATAAGATAATGTAAAGTTAAGTAAAGGAATATAAATTAAAACAAAATAAAATAAAATGACTGAAATGAAGTAAAATAAAATAAGATAAGATTGTAAAAACAATATGTTTTCCTGCGGTAAACATAAAAACACACAGGAATTGATTTATGACGATGATTTATTTATTTATTTATTATGACTAATCTTCTACATATATGTTAAATAAGTGATATAAAGTTTGTACGACGTAAGATTGTCATAGTTTGTACGATTGTAAGATTGTAAATACCTAATTTTCGAACCAAAGTGACATATTAATCTTTACATTCCGATATCATTGCAATTTGTATTTCCCTACTATTAATAATTTATATTGTAAACAACTTGATCAGAATTCAGCCCTGTATGTCAAGGCTGCGAGATATGTTGTTGATATGTTGATACAAAGAAATAAACCAATAAATAATAAAAGACTTCCCTTACCTTTGGCGGGATATCCCGGGGTGAGAGGTTCTCCCTCCCCGGTAGTGTAGAGGAAGTGACCCCGCTGGACCGCCGTGCCAGGTGCGTACCAGCCGTCCGGGTACTTCCTGTCTCTTCCCCAGCCGATCCCAACAACTTCCCTGGGATCTGAATACACGATCATGCCGACAGCTCCACGATCTTGGGCGCGACGCAGCTGGAAGAATGCACATCAAATTAAGTCATTGTTTAAGAAAAAAGTAAGTTCGTTTTGTTATCAGCTTTGTCATGTAACAATAATGTACCTATGATTTTGAAGTTTGCGACCACAGTGGAAAGCATGCAAACAAACATAAGCATGAAAAAAAAAATGTTTTCAAGATCCGACCATCCATCGTCCGCATGTTCCTTCTGGCCTAGTGTACATGTGTCCCGAACACGTCTTGTGAATACATGTTGGGGAAAAGGGCCGAACAATTTTTATCGTGATGATGATGATAACAACGAAGTGAATGAAGTTGCTTGACAGGTGTACATGGTACAATGTTTGGCAACAATGACGCTGGCATGAATACTAGTCTATCTAAACAACTATGACTACAGGAATATGTACGTAACATCAGAAGGAGACAAGGCATGAACGAAGTCGAATGAGAATGGGATGGGGGGAAGTATGAAAATGTAGGGATTTGGGATGGGAAGCATAGGAATGGGATGGGGAGTAGTATAAGAATAGGATGGGGAGCAGTATGAGAATGGGATGGAGAGTAGTTTGAGAATGGGATGGGAGTAGTATGAGAATGGGGAGTAGTATGAGACTGGAATGGGGAGTAGTTTGAGAATGGGGTGGGACGTAGTTTGAGACTGGGATGTGGAGTAGTAAGAGAATGGGATGGGGAGTAGTGTGAAACTGGGATGAGGAGTAGTATGAGAATGGGATGGGGAGTAGTTTGAGAATGGGATGGGGAGTAGTTTGAGAATGGGATGGGGAGTAGTGTGCAACTGAGATGAGGAGTAGGATGAGAATGGAATGCGGAGTAGAATGAAAATTGAATGGGGAGTAGTATAAGACTGGGATGGGAGTAGTATGAGAATGGGATGGGAGTAGTAAGAGAATGGGATGGGAGTAATATGAGAATAGAATGGAGAGTAGTGTGCAACTGGGATGGAGAGTAGGATGAGAATGGAATGGGGAGTAGAATGAGACTGGGTTGGGAGTAGTAAGAGAATGGGATGGGGAGTAGTATGAGAATAGGATAGGGAGTAGCATGAAACTGGGATGAGGAGTAGAATGAGAATGGGATGGGAGTAGTATAAGACTGGAATGAAAGTAGCTTGAGAACGGGATGGGGAGTAGTTTGAGAATGGGATGGGGAGTAGTATGCAACTGGGATGGGGAGTAGTATGTAAATGGGATGGGGAGTAGTATGAGAATAGTATGGGTAGTAGTATAAAACTGGAAAGGGAAGTAGTATTAGAATTGAATGGGGAGTAGAATTAGAATGGAATCGGGAATAGTATGAGAATGGGATGGGGAGTAGTTTGAGAATGGGATGCAGAACAGTAAGAGAATGGGATGGGAGTAGTAAGTATGATAATAGGACGGAGATTAGTATGAAATGTATTTGGAAGATTGGCAGGAGAGGGCTTAACAGTCAGGGAAGGGCGAAGAAGGAGGACGACGCTTTTTCTTATGACTCGAAAAGGATACTATTCATACAGTACATGCACTTCACCTTCCTTCCGCGAGAGGTCTTCCCATACCGGGCGATGACCATCTTCCTTTTCACGTTGATCCCGCGACTCTTCACCAGATCGAAGTCACTGGTCCGTCCGTAGTTAACGTACACCAGGCGACTGGACTGCAGGTTTGGACACATTTCAAATATAAAACATGGGATCGTATAGCGTAATAATTGGGTGTTTGACCCAGATTTTGTGCCCTAGGCAAACGCCCTTTATACTGATTTCCTCACTTCACTCAGGTGAAAATGAACAAATAGATTTGGTATGGGACGTCCCTCGGATAGGAGGTCCCATGTTTTGTGAGAGCCACGCAAACAGCTGTCGAAAAAGAGTAGGGGCATGCCCCAGTGTAGTCTCCACCAGACTTCTTTTGTGGGCTGAATAAATTGTAGAAATCGGCCTAAAAAGGGTATTAATTGGCTAGAGAAGGTAGCCGGCCAGAGAAGCTGCATTTGCCCGCGACCCTTTTTAGGCCGATTTCTACGATTTATTCAGCCCGCAAAAGAAGTGGAGACTAGCCCCAGTGTGCGATGGTCCAAATTCTACTCTCTGGAAGTTGATTATTCGCTACAAATCATACTCATGGAGGCCTTGCGAACCCCGCCTCGAGCTCGTATTAGGCCACACCAAGTAAATTTTATGGATGACGTCCGCGCGCGCATTGATTTTGGCCTGTTCCAAGAAAAAAAACAAGAAATTCCGCTTCCTGTAACTATGACCAAAGAGTCACGACAGTGCCGCAAATAGTTAGATTGACGTGAAACCCGTAACGCGAAATGGGTAAAGAGCACATGCTTTGTTTCTGCAGGCCTGCAAAAATGTGAAAGAAACAGGACAGGACGACAACTGCTGTTCCACCTGATTTATTGCTGTTTTGATTATGAATAAAAGACTTCATGCTTGTTAATCTGTGTCACCTCATTCACTCAATCCTAACATTTGTCGTCTCTTAGTATATTTCTAATCTAGGCATCTTGTTTTTTAGGGCCCTTCTTGTTTTTTTTTCGCCCTCTCGCATTAGATATAGGGTCTCCAAAGGACGTCATCCATAAAATTTACTTGGTTTGGCCTTATAATTAGCCACATGTATTTTGGAAAGGCCGGACACTTCATCTCCCACTGCCTCCAAAGAAGAAGTCAAGCCCCCTAGCTAACTGCAAAACTTGAATTGGAATAGTAGTTGACCTGTTTTTCTTACCTGTTTATATATTACATATCTTCTCTGTCACACATACATAATTTGAAGTAGAGATAGGAAACTAGATTAGTATAACGTAGAACTTCATGTTAGCATATGGTTTTATACCATTGCTCAATATATTCTCTACTCGTTGTCCTTGTCAGTTTGCAATTAACCCTCAGGCATGAACTTGCAATAAAGAACTTAAATAATCCTGTTAATGTAAGTCATCACAATGAAATCTTTCTAAGTAATTACTCACTAAACATTGACGGAAATTAGGCCACAGCAAGTAAATTTTATGGATGGCATCCTCCACAGACTCCAAATCTAATGCGAGCGGGCGAAAAAAAACATGGCGGGCCGAAAAAACAAAGGTCCCTACAATTCAAAATTTTGACTCAATAATTGTACAAATGTTTTGATTCAGTGGGAACAACACATATACACAGCCAGCATCATAGATCACTGCATCTAAGTAAGAAACAAAACATTGAATCAAGCCTTTTCTTGTCTCCTCTCTTCATAGCTATCTGCCATCCACCTTCCGGCATGACAACAGACATCTTTGCCCATTATTGACATTATTGGCATGTTGACCACTGTCAGAAGGCAACATTTTTTTTTTAAATAAGGCGAAAATAAATGCGCACGCTGATGATGTCATCCATAAAAATTACTTGCTGTGGCCTTATTTCAACCTTTCTCACCTCCACCACACCAGAAGGAGAGTACGCTGCAAACGGCGGCACCACGCTGGAGATGTTCGCCGCCGGGTCCACGTCAACATGAGGCTCACCGGGCGACGATCGGAAGACTTCAGTGCTGTTTCTAACAGAAGAGACCGAGTAATTTTGTAAGGCCACACCAGTTTAATTTGTTGGTTCTCGGATTTGGCTCTACTTTTTTTTCTGATTTGCAAAAAAAAATATTCTGGTTCTGAATCAACTCAAAAATGCTCATATTTTGCCCCCAACAGTTGAGGTTGAGTCATTTTCTTCTTGGATCTTATAATTTGACCATCTATCAATGCAGTAGTTTGATTAAAAGTTCGAAATTCTTTGTTTGAATTTTAACCCAGGCTTTAACTATGATAATAATGTTGACATTCCACCCTTTCCTCGGTGTATATGATGAGATAATCCCTGGTCGGGTGCGATTAACAACCGAATAATCGCTACACCCACTCTGTAGTTTATTCGGTGGTGATCCCAACTGACAAGAGATTATCTCACCATATACACCTTGGGGCGGGTCATTAATCCTTTATTACAGCATTGCATTAATGTTATGAAGGCAACTCAAATTATGCAAAAAAATTATTATAACAGAAAAAGGTTCCGCTGATGAAATGGTGGGGTCCTGTGGCGTAGCGGCAGAGTGCTCCACTCGGAACCAAGAGGTCCCGGGTTCGAGTCCTGACATGCCACCGATCTTGTGCCCTTGGGAACGGCATTTAACACGAATTTTCTTACTTAACTCAGGTGAAAATGAGTGTTATCCTGTTCCATATTTGTCCTCTATCTGCGTTGGTGACGGCATAAAATAAGTTGAAAAAACCTGAGTGTGCCGTCACCACGTCTTGTGATTACATGTTGGAATATAAAAAAAAAATGTTTCCTTACTCATCCACTAAGGCCACGTAGCTGGGGTTGTCCGGGTCCGGGTAGGAGAGCAGGACGTCGTACGGAGCCATGTGTGCGGAGTCCAGGCCCTGGTCCTCCCACGTCTGTCTCACGTACTCCGCCAGGCTGTACCCCTCCTGTGTTCCCGCTAGGTGGGGCTTCTCTGTCAGAATTCTTCCAAAACAAACAAATCAGTATTAAACCCACTAATTTTAGAAAAGGTGGGACATTACGTCTTCCATGGTCTAAAAAAGAGAAGTCAAACCCCTTAGACATAGTTTTAGACATAGCTATAGCTCTAGACAAGTTCCTTTTATCATGTAGATTTTAGTTATTTTATACTACGTTTCATTGTTCTTTTATGTTTGTAGTCTGCAATTAGCCCCCCGGGCATGAATTTGCAATAAACTTCACATTACAAAATCTAGATAGGCTGACATTTTCTTTGGAGCAAATGTAGCATGGCTTCACCACGTTTCACGATATGGCAGGGAAAGAAGGAGAAATATATTAGGGAAAACAATGCTTTACATTGATAAAGATATAGTATGAAGTGACATATGACTAAGAATACAACAGTTTGATAGCTATCCCCTACATTATTGGTTAGGATTTTTATTTGCATAAAGCTAACTGTTGATTTTCAAGATTTAAAGAAAGGCGTTTATGCCCCGCATTCCAATGCTGGAGCAGGAACGTTTGACATACCTACCCCAAAACACTAGAATGCAATTTAATACTGTCAATATGGTATGGCTATGTGCAGCTGTTAATACAGTTAATTCAATTAGACCTCAACAGCCAATCAGCAAGAAGAATAGAAAGCAGCTTATTTGGTTTTAAAAGTTAAAAATTTGGTTTAAAAAATAGCAAGGTAGATAGAAATCTAGGTTGTATGACATGTTCCTACCGATTTACAACCAAAAGGACTTCTTTCCCTGGCTAATAATTGTAAAAAAAACTAACTATCCCTACTATAATGTGGAAGCATAGACAGGTGTTCATTTAGCAGTAAAGTAATTAAGGGAACAGCCAATCAGCGACCAGATCTCCAAACAGGGTGCACCTGCTGCCCATATTTGGGCATTCGCCCTATGTCCAAATATGGTCACACTCCAATCTTGGCAACACACGCTGCTATAGTACATTACCTATAACACCACCAAAATGTTTAACAAATGTGTGTTCAGAACACAAAATCTGTTTTGTATCCCAGACTATAGATAACAACAGACAGACACTAAACAAAGATAACATTTTAGTGGGGCAGATAACTGAAATAATCTTTCAAATTGTGATACAAGCACCAAACTTGGTACAAATATTCATGAGACATTGCTCTTTAAAAAAAGTACGCGGGCCACTAGATTTGACTTTTGGAACTGCAGGGGCGTTTTTTGCCGGTGCACAATTTGCTCCAAGTGATTACGCTAGGGGGCGCCAAAAGTCAAATTAGCGCCCTTGGACTCCAAGTTGGAGCAAATTGTGCACCGGCAAAAAACGCCCTTGCAGTTCCAACGCAAGCTGCTAGATACACCAAATTTACGTCACTTCTTTCTTACTGTAAAAGCTTTCCACCACATAAAAATCATGACTGTAGCATGTTTAAAACAGGAGATACAAAGCCCGGAAGGTCGGCCGCAATACCAAAAAGCGCCGCTAGGGGGCGCCAAAAGTCAAATCAAGTGGCCCGCGTACTTTTTCAAAAGAGTAATGTCTCATGAATATTTGTACCAAGTTTGGTGCTTGTATCACAATTTGAAAGATTCCTCCGAAATTTGATGTTATCTGCTCCACTATTTCTTAGATATTTCCCCTAGGCATTCCCCTAGTGAATAAGTTCGAAATTCTGCATACTTAAGTTTGATTTCAGCAACGTCAGAAAAAAATAAAATTATTTGGGTGGGTAGGTATAATTAAGGTATAATACAATCTAGCCACTTATGTGTCTTATCTATCTTTTTTTATTTGCAATTCAACGTGGTTAATACAGGACATGGTGGTGAGGTGCTCTAGCTTAGCTAATTTTAACCTGAACACCAAACATACAAGTGTACAGTGACAAAATACATGACAAAAACAACACAGAACAGCAAATGGGAAGGAAATGGATCAATAAATGGTAAGGAAGAACATGTTTCGTAGGCTAATATGCAGGAGTTAATCTAATACAAACCTTTTAGTATCAATAACGTAAGTTTGGGAGATTGTCAGAATGTTACAGTTTGTATCTGGGTGTATCCTCTAAGCAAAATGTTACATAGGAATTGTTCAGACATGTTATATATATCAAAGATAGAGCTTACCTGAGGAACTCTTCGATGCGCGCTGGGTCCATCTCGTTGCTAAGCTGGTCCGCCCAGTCTACCTGAGCCAGCCCGGCGCCGAGAAGCCCACACACCGCCGCAAGAAGCAAGGTCTTCCCGGCGGCCATCGTCTGCCTGAGGGACGGAACAGAAGCGTACTGTTTTTTTTTTTTTTTATTTATTCCAACATGTAATCACGAGACGTGGTGACGACACACTCAAGTTTCTACAACTTATATAATGCCACCACCAACACAGGGGACGAATACATTACAGGACAATACTCATTTACACCTGAGCTAAGTGAGGAAAGCCGTGTAAAGTGCCTTTCCCAAGGGCACAAGATCGGTGGCATGTCAGGACTCGGGACTCTAAGTTCCGAGTCGCGCACTCTGCCGCTACGCCACACGACCCCACAAGCGTACTGTTGGAACGCACCTATCCGTCATCTTTACACATACGTATATTATCCTTAAAAATGCTTAAGCAATAAAAATACGTCAACTTTACATACAGTCTAAGAATATTTTCATCATTAATTAGGACATCTTAAAGTGCTTAAAGGCTACGTGAAAACCGGAAAATAAGGATCCATCCGCACCTATCCGTCATCTTTACACATACGTATACACTATCCTTAAAAATGCTTAAACAATAAAAATACGTCAACTAAAAATATTTTAATCATTTTAAAGACATCTTTAAGTGCTTAAAGGATACGTGAAAACCGAAAAATAAGCATCTATTCGCACCTACGGAAAGACCACGTACCGTCGATCTTTACGTATCTGTATCTGTATAGCCGGTATAGCACCCTTTCGGCGTAACACATCAGAAACGTGTACCGCCCACGAAAATAGTTATCCTTGTTAAGATGATTAAACCCGTATATGCCCCTCGCCCCCTCTTTCCTGTACAGGTGGCATGTAATCTATGTTGGGCAGGGCTAATTGGGCAAGGGTTGGGCAAGGGTTGGGCAGGGTTTGGTAGGGGTGGCTTTTATTTTGATTTAAGGAATAATTTGGATATGACCAGGGACAGACAAATCCCTGCAAATACTAGTAGCTTGCTATATACGTGCTAATCTCTCCAGTTACAAACAAGCTTTCACTACTCTGGCGTTTTAGATCCATTGGGTTGGCTCAAAAGACTATTCTCACCAATCAAAACACACTTTCATACAGTCGTTTTAATTTTTAACTTGGTACACTCGGAGTAATACATGAATGAGACCTTAGTCCTGTGGCCATGTACTGGGGGCAATGGATGAGGCACTATTTTACATTGCGCAAAGACCGTCATGCTGTCGAAATCAATGGTAAACAGGCGGATTCTAGAACTCCCGCTAGTTACTATAGCATCATTAAAAAATTCTGCCACATGCTTAAAAATGATTTAGCCGTCATAGGCAGAGATTTGGCCATGTGCGGCCCCAAATAGTGCTATTCGCAGTCGCGTTGGAGAAGTGGTCGGGTTAGGCAAGTAACGTAATGCTTAAGCCAATGGGAACAGATAGGGAACGAGACAAGGCGCTGGTCGTTGTGGAAAGTAAGAAACAAAACATTAGATCAGAGTCTTTTCTTGTCTCTTCTCTTCATAGTTATCTGTCATCCACCTTCCGGCATGGCAACAGACATCTTTGCCCATTTTCGGCATATGTTTCACCACTGTCAGAAGGCAACAAAATTTCTTGTTTTTCTCTCCCAAACCAGGCGAAAATCAATGCGCGCGCTGATGCCATCCATAAAATTTACTTGCTGTGGCCTAACCAAGGCACAGACTACAGCAAACCATCCACTTTGATATTACAGCAGAGTAACTTAACGCGAGCTAAAGCTGTGGATGACAAAATTATACCCGCATGGGGGCACAAGAACAAGTTCCTTCAGTTGTGCGTGAGAAACTTTGAAATTCACTGGGGTGTGGAAAACATGTCAATGAATTATAGGCCACAGCAAGTAATATTTATGGATAACATCAGTGAGCGCATTAATTTTCGCCTGATTTGAGAAAAAAATTGTTGCCTTCTGACAGTGTTCAACATGCCGAAAATGGGCATAGATACCTGTTGCCATTCCGGAACGTGGATGGCAGATAACTATGAAGAGAGAAGACAAGAAAAGGCTCGATCTGATTAATGTTTTGTTTCTTACTTTGATGCAGTGATATGTGATGATGACTGTGTATATGTGATGTTCCCACTTAATCAAAACCATTTGTATAATGATTGAGTCAAAATTTTAAAATGTCGGAGCCTTGTTTTTTTCGGCCCACCTTGTTTTTTTTCGCCCGCCCGCATTAGATTTGGAGTCTGTGGAGGATGTCATCCATAAAATTTACATGCTGTAGCCTTAAGATGGATAATTTTGTAGTTTTTGTATGTGTGTGAGTCTGTAATTTTGCACGATAACTCGAGAGGCTTTGGGTAGATTCTCATTAAACGTGAAAAGAGCTTAGGTCTCCATCTATCAAAGAAACGATTAGATTCCGGACCCCCAGGCGGATGTCCTTGGTACTGCAGCAGGAGGAAACTGAACCTTTCTGCGAACCTACTCTCATGGCTAAATATATCCCTTTTGCCGAATTTTACCATCCGTACCCCCGTAAGGCCATACCGTCTTAATTTTATGGATGACATCCTCTGAAGACCCCAAAACTAGTGCGCGCGGGCGAATAAAAAAAAATCAGACCAAAAATAAAAATGGCACTAAACCACAGGAATACGTATTCAAGCTGGTATTGTGAATTTGCGGCAGTACTTAACGACGTATATACGACAAGCCGGTACGTGCTGGATTTTTGCGGAATTTATGAATCAGCACTGTACGTATATACTGAGATCTTGAGTGGTGGAGCTTCGGCAGCCTGTGTGCCATCCTCCAGAGTTACCACCGGCTCCGTATTGTCGCTAACTAGCATGGGCTACCCAGGCCTAGAGTCAGGCTAGTGCCCCGGAGGACGTGATCTTTTTTTTTTTTGGAGAACAGACGAAAATCAATGCGCGCGTGGATGTCATCCATAGAATTAAGTCGGTGTGGCCAAAGATATTGGGGAAGCTAACAACGTTATCTGAAAGCAGAAAATTGGTTAAATATTTTAATATATATTCCAACATGTAATCACAAGACGTGGTGACGGCACACTCAAGTATTTTTCAACTTATATTAATGCCGCCACTAACACAGGGGACAGGACAATACTCATTTTCACCTGATCGAAGTGAGGAAAGTCTTGTAAAGTGCCTTTCCCAAGGGCACAATATCGGTGGCATGTCAGGACTCGAACACGGGATCTCTTGGTTCCGAGTCGAGCACTCTGCCGCTACGCCACATGACCCCACTATGGTCAAATCTTGAGGACACCGAAAACCGTCACTAGTTGGCCTTCAAAACATCAGCCTTGAGATCAAGCCAATCGTACGTCTTTGTATCAGCCTCGCTAAAAATATTTCGTCAAACAATACAGCGTTTCTGTGAGCGTTCATTTGAAAGCGTTCCCAGGCCTTGTGACCTTCAACAACGTAAGACTTCGACAATTATCTAGTGTTACCTGGGATTTTCCAAATCATTAACCTTAAGACCTTCGCCTCAGATGAAAAGGACGACCGGACAAGTGAAGGATGTCCAGACAATTAAGTAGCGCGAGGGATTAGCCCACAGCAAGTATCTTTCATGGATGACATCAGCGCGCGTTTTGATTTTCGCCTGATATTGGGAAAAAAACAAGAAATTTTGTTGCCCTTTGACAGTAATGAATATGCCGAGAATGGGCAAAATGGCATGCCTTGCCATGCTGGAACGTGTAGGGCAGATAAACATGAAGAGAGGAGACAAGACAAGGCTCTGATTTAATGTTTTGACTTTTACTTCGAAGCAGTGATGTGTTTCATTTATTTTATATGTTCCCACTGACTCAAAACCATGTGTACAATGATTGAAAACTTTCCTTTTTCAAAGTTTTTTTTCAGTGACAAATGGATGTTGTTATAGCTGGCAGTAATGTTAGCACAGTATAGGTATCATTTCTTGTTTAACAGGGTTTATGATGTAAAAATTTCAAAATATAGGAATGTTTTTGGCGGGCCTTCCTTGTTTTTTTTCGCTCTCTAGCATGAGATTTGGAGTCTGCGAATGATGTCATCCATAAAATTTACTTGCTGTTGCCTTAGCTTGGTACATTAGGAAGGGGTGCAAGATTTAACTTGAAGCTACTAGACAATCTATGTACTTGCAATTTGCAAAACTTGCAAATAAATTTTCCCTCATTCCTACATTACATTTACGTTAGGCCACACCGAGTTCATTTTATGGATGACATCCGCGCGCGCATTGATTTTTGCCTGTTCTCAAAAAAATTAAAAAAAAGAAGAAAAGACCACGTCCTCCGAGGCTGTGGCCTGGCCTAGTTAGCTACAATACGGCGGCGGTAACTTTTAAAGGATGGCAAACAGGCTACCGAGGTTTCACGACTCAACAACAAGTACATACGTACAGTGCTGATTCATAAATTCCGCAAAAAGCCAGCATGTGGCTGCTTGTCGTTTACGTCGCTAAGTACTGCCGCAAATTCACAATAACAGCCTTGTATTCCTGTGGTTTAGTAGCATTTTTATTTTTGGCCGGAATGTTTTTTTATTCGCCCGCGCGCACTAGTTTGGGGTCTTCAGAGGATGCCATCCATAAAATTAAGACGATGTGGCCTTAGTTCATGCTAACACCAGTAAACAGCCTTGCACGGTCTCTATCTACAGGTCTTCATAGGTCAATGGTTTTTAACAAGAAGGCGAGTTAAACCACACTCCAAGCAGAGGTTTGGGTTTCGATCTTTTATGTTTAACGCGTTTTTATCGGGCTTTGGTTTTGTATTGGTATCTTTTTTTCTGCCCTGTCTTGTGAATTTGATAGTATCTTACAGCCTCCAAAAGATCTCCCTCGAGATTTAAGTTGAAATCATTCAAATGAAGAGAAAAAATCGTGGAGAAAATAAATTTAAAAGAAATGCAGTGAAAAACTGTCATAAATAACTTAGAACTGTGAAAAACTTCCGTGGGATAGAAATGCATATGTGTGCTGTTCCATTGGGGAAATCTTTTGCCATGCATTTTTGTTACCACCTTTAAAGACTTTAA